AGTTTAGGGCACATATTCGCCCAGACAAACATAAAACCCAAACAGCGGCTTTAGAAGCACTACTGTCTTCTTAAAACTGGGTTGCATGAGAAACCTAAAGCCTGAACCGCTTGCTTTGAATGGGGGGGTGCAGTGCTTCAGGTTGGAGAGGTTTAAAGTCTTGGGTTACCCTAAACGTTAGACCCTAGACCCTAAAGTTTTCAGGGCTTTGGGTTTTGTTGCTTTGCCTCGGGTTTGAGGATTTCAGCATTTGGGCTCAAGGTTCAGAGGCTTCGGGTTGCCGGTTTGAAGTGTTGGGCTTGGGGTTTGGGGTTATAGTCCCCCTTAAGTAGATAGAATATGGCTTTGGGTAATTTATAATAAGATCCCCATATACCCCATATTCTATCTACTTAAGGGGCACCATACGCTTCTGGGCTTAGGGAGTTTCCTTAGTTTTTTGGGGTTTGCTATGCTTTCAGTCCCGAGATAATCAGAGGGCTCAAAAGATGGAGTAAAGGAAGGTGGGGTATAGGAGATAAGCCCCAATACTGTAGAGTATATACTAGGGATCCCTTAACTCACCTACCTTCATCCCACCTTGTGAGTCGCCTCAGATAAAAGGTGACGACTGGCAGGTCTTCGAGAAAGGTCTCCTCCTAATGAAGGAGTTGGAACAGGACTGCGAAACGTTGGGACCCTAAACCCTATATTCTAAACCCCAAACCCTCGACCCAAAATGTTCGGAGCAAAGAGCGGAATTTTTGGGGGCTATTATTGGGATTATAAAGGGGGGTACTAGGAAATCAGGATATAGCTCACATGGAAGCATGGAATCCCATATAATACGCCCCTGGAAAGAGGACAGAAGTCTTTTGTGTGGTCACTGTTGGGCCAGTTCGGGGGAATCTAGATACAACTGTGGGGTCATGTAGAACACTGAAGGATAGATTTACTTATTACTACCAGGACATGGGCGTCCAGGTGTTTCTACCCTTCTTGGGGCTACTTTGAGCAGCCGTACTTACAACCATCCTAAATTCTCAGGCCTGAGCCTTAAACCCGAAGCCCTCGAATTGAAGTCGCAGAAATCGGCTCTGGAGCTGCCCCCGTGTGGTGGACAGATGTGCTTGTTGTCATTGTTGCCCCCCAATCCTAACATCTTGCACCTTAAACCCCAAATCCCAAATCCTAACCCCTTATGCCCGAAACCCTAAATCCTAAACCCTGCACCCTAAACCCCAAACCCTAAATCCTAATACCCTATGCTCCTGCCTGTGGCCTACTATCGTTATTACTACTATTAGTACTATGATACATATTACCACTCCAAGTGAGGCAGGGCACATGCCTTCGAGTTCACCGCCCGTCTTCTTGACTGAGGTGATGGTCTTTCAAACAAATTGGGTTATGTAGCGGGTTATATATAACTATATCTATATCTATCTCTATATATATATATGTACATGGGTATAATGGAAAACAAAGTGGAAATTAATAGTTTAGGGCTTAGGGTTTAGTGCCAGGTTTTAAAGTTTTAAGGTTTAGGGGTTTGGGGTTTGGGGTTTAGAGTGAAGAGTTTAGGCTTATAGGCAGGGGTCTGGGCTGATTTTATTGATGCAAAACGACTCTCTGTCGCAGATGGGGGCCATAGTGATTTTTACAAAGGGAATATTTTGACAGATTCCCGCCGTAGGTGATGGCAGTCTGCCCCGGCACTTACTGGTGCGCAAAACAGCCGCTAAGCTCTGCACTGGGTAATCTTGAACAGTTCCTGGGTCTTCGGGTTATGACATCATATGAGCCATAGTCTAAACTCCTTAAAAGGGGATTGGGGATTATGTAGGGGACTACTGTAGGGGCTATTAAGGGGGATACTAGGAGCTTAGACTATAGCTCATATTACTACATAAATCATCCTGGATTCCTCCGAGAGGAACGGCGATTCAGTTTCTAAGAAGCGTAAACCCATGTAAGTCCCAAAGCCTAACCTTGCAAAAGTTCAAGTTCAGGATTTAGGGTTTAGGGTTTAGGGTTTAGGGTCTAGGGTTTAGGGTGTCAGGTTTTTAACGCCTATTACATAAACAGCGCTTCAGATGTTCGCATTTGTTAACTTACTTTCGAAGTTGCCATCCGGACCCTCCAAGTACCGGACACCTAACCCCAACCCCCAAACTCTAAGCCCAAAACTAAGGCAGGAAACCTGCAATTGCAAAGGGGAGATCACCTACGCCACGGAGCTCTACAATGGTGAAACCTACACTGTTCCAGAGGCAGAGAAGATGCTGGACTGGCGTGAGCTTTACATAGGCTTCATAAGGATGATATAGGGGTATATAAAAGTTATTAGGGCTTTATAGGGATACTATAGGGCTGTATAAATCAAGGCTCTATAGGTATTGTTTACGGGTTATGAAGGGATTATGTAGGGATTCTATAGTATTATGTAGGGGTTACATATGGATTATAGAGAGGGAATGGAAAAGAGAATTGGACAAGAGAATGGAAGTTACTTTTCAGTGTTTACGTTTCGGGGCTCAAGGTTTCAGTTTCAGAGTTCAATGTTTAAAGCTTTGGGTTTAGGCTTTTGGGTGCTAGGTGTCAGGATTTAGGGCTGAGGGCATAGGGTTCAGGTTCTAGGGCTTTGGGTTTAGGGTTGAGGGCTTATGGTTTAGGGTATGGATTTGGGTCTAGGGTGTTCTGCAGACGTTATATAGGATTCCATCCCAAAACCGTAAACACTAACTTGTTCTTGTTTCCGACCATCTACCCTAAACCCTAAACCCTAAACCCTAAACCCTAAAGGGATGGAGAAGCCTGAAGGGTTACTTTGTCTAGGAGGACTAATACAGCAACTCGGAGGTCGATTTCAAATGAAACCCAAAATGTATGAGCTACAGTGTAAACTGCTTAAGGGGGCTTATATAGGGGATTGTATAGGGGACTCCTATGAGGGGGTAAGTACGAAGGGGAATGCCACGAGTTTAGACTTTAGCTAAGTTAAGAACCCAACTGTAACCCTATTTTCGAGAGCTAGGGGCGCCTTTTATCAAGGTACCCTAAACCCTAAACCCTAAACCCTAAGCCCATTGCTTTGGGCTAGCCTGCAGGTGCAGGGCGTTTGCAGGCAATGGAGAAAAACGATCTTCATGGTAGCCCCTGCCCAGACCCCTGGGAGGATCTGAAAATTAGATCCCCTATATAGACCCATTATAACCCCTATATAATCCTTATATAATTCCCCGCAAAATTCTTGGGGATCTAATTTTTACATCCTTTTGGGGGTCTGGGTGGGTGATCTCTACTACTGTGGTACTTTCCATTCTCATTTCCATGCCTTCAACTCCTAAAACCCCAAACCCTAAACATCACCCCCTAAAACCTTAAGCCCTGAAACGCTAGACCCTAAACATCAACCCCCTAAAGCCTTAAGACCCTAAAGCACTAAACCCTAAACCTCAGCCCGCCGAAACCTTAAAACCCTAAACCCTAGACCTTAACCCCTAAAAGCCTGAACCTGAACCACAAACCCCCAAACCTCAATCCCCTCAACCATCAAACCCTGACCCCTAAATCCCTAAACCCCTCAACCTCAACTGGCCAGAGTAAGGAAGTACAAGGTTGCCTCGAATGGCATCTGGCTCTGCGGCACGGATCAGTCGGGACAGCCCTTTCCAGAGGAGCTGAAGGTTTTGCTTAGGGTTTACGGTTTGGGGTTTAGGCTTGAGGGTTTGGTTTTTAGGATTTAAGCGTCAGGTTTTCGAGATTTAGGGCTTTACTCCCTACATGTGACCCCCTTATTATGTTGTTGATAACAGAAGGCATGACCCTGAACCAGTGGAATGGTGGAAGTATGCAGGAGTAGCATCAACAGTGGAACCCTCTCATTGTGCTTCCCGATTCCAAAGGGTCCCTAACAGGACCCTCTCGGAGAAAAATGAGACTCCACACACTACAACCCCTAAGCCCTAAACCACAAGCCCTAAACCCTAAACCCCTTAGCCCAAATCGTGTGTAGGATCCTTCTCCCTGGCGCACCAAGCACTGTTGGTGCACGCCCCAAGGCATTCTGGACATCGCAGCTGGATCCTTGCAGCATCTGTTTTCCATCCTAGCTATAGTCTAAACTCCTTAAAAGGTGTTATATGTGTTATATGGGGGATTATATAAAGGAGTAATATAGGGGTCATTGAGGGGAGATACTACGAGTTTAGACTTTAGCTCATATGGGGTTTGTACAATGGCGGTGGCCTACAAGGACCCCAGATACACTCATATGTACATGCATCTGCATGTGTGTGTATTTGTTTATCTACACATCATATTCCCCTGGACCCTATCGCACCCTAAACACGTAAATTTGTTATCACGTGGTTTTGCGATATCGGATGCTGAAGCATTTCTACGCTGTCGACTTTCAAAATACGTCTTAGCGGATGGCTTCGATGCTGAAAGCATCGAAATCTGAGATACTATGCGACTGGTAACTGGGAGCCCCAGGGATTAGCAACCACCTGTCTCCTCACCTCATTTGCTACTTGTAATTGTGTTTTTCTCATGAGACGGTGCCATTCTGAACCAGGGTTGTGGGTGGGGGGAGCCTGCCTATTATGTAGATGTATATATGTATGAATATATATATATATGTCTGTTATATGTGCTGTACATATACATATACACACACGTTGACAGAAGAATCCTCATGCAAAGCGTGTGTGAATTTAACGGCGCGATGTATGCGAGAAGTATAGGAAGCTTATGAGTATACGGGTCTTTCTCAAAGCTTCTTGAGTTTCCATAGTTCCATGACGGGCTCTAAAGGTTCATATGTATGCTCGCATGATTAGCTCCAAGCCTCCCACCCGAAACCCGAAGCCCTGAAGCCTGCCAGCCTCCTTTAATGCTGTACGAACACGCGGAATTCTCAACCTAGACCCTCCTCCTACCCTCTATTAGGGCTTAAGTACCCACTATTAGGGACCATATATCCCCAATTATGGGTACAAGGAGGGTCCTGGAAGGTACAGCATCATGGAGAAGCGTTCGAAATACACAAGAAGCAATGCTCGGACATGGTAAATGAAGACTTCAACCGCGCGAGCCCTCGACGCCTCCAAAGTTGGGGAACCGAGCTCGCTGATGCTGGATAAGGATTTAGGGGTCCGGGGTTAGGGTTTATAGGGTATATAGGGTTTATAGGGTTTAAAGCTTTATAGGGTTTATAGGGTGTAGGGATACTGCAAGTAAAAATCTGAGTTCCTACTGGTTTTAGAGTCCCCCTTCAGTAGATAGAATGTGGGGTATAAATGGAGATCTTATTATCATATACCCAAAGCCATATTCTATCTACTTAAGTAGTAATCTGAGTTCCTACTGGGTTTTGGGGCTTGAGGTTTTAGGGCTCACTGGTTGGCCATTAAAGAATTTAAATTAAGTTACCAGAATATGGCTGTATAAGTAAATACCCGGACCCCCAAAGTAGGTAGAATGATAGCCCAAAACCCCCTTAAATAGGCCAAAAGGCCATTGTTCTCCATACTTTCGGGGTTCAGGTAATAGGTCTTCAAAGTAATGTTGGAAGCTGCGATACTGTTTCGTGTTTAGCGTCCGGGGTTAGGATTTAGGTTTTTTCAGTTAGTGTTTAGGGTTTGGGGTCTGGGGTTTAGGGTTGGTAGGTTTTACCTAAGTAGCTAAATCACCAGAACTACACATGTTCTACGGTTGATAACACTCAAACACCACAATTCCCAAGGTCTAGGATGCTCCGGGCCATGCAGGGTTTTAAGTAGGTAAAGGTCCTTACTCTATGTACAAGAAGATGCTCGGGACCACTGAGTGATACATATATATATATACACACACACATGTTTCTGTGTATATATATATATATTTCTGTATATATATATATAAATTGGGTGTGCTATAGCATCCAACTGAAGCTCATCTAGAGTAAGCAGCTGCCTTTTTGGTTTAGCATATCATAAGACTAATGTACCCTTTCTTGGCTCAAGCACCAAGGAATACACTAGAGAACCTCTGCTATGTAGATAGTTGCTACCAAGACATCTCGGGCATGGGGTTCCGCTTTCACCAACCACCACGACAAAGACAGCTCATGTCTTGGAGGGGTTGGTCTTACAGCTGACAAGCAACCCTAAACCCTAAACCCTAAACCATGCATTTCAACCCTCAACCTTACCTTTGGTTAGCTGGGAATGAAGGAATGGAAAAGAAAATGGAAACTGCTATAATGGGTTGGGGTTTAGGGTTTAGGGTTTAGGGGGTTCTATAGAGACTACTATGAGGATTCATTGCTCCATTCCTAGCTGACCCAAAGTAAGAAACTCAAAGCCCAAATTCCCAAACCCTGGATCCTAAGCAGCATCGTACCTCCATAATTCTTTTCCATTCCTCTTTATATCCCTATATACCCCGCCAAACCCTGAACCCTGAATCCTAATCCCTTAACACCTAAGGCCTAAGCCTCTTCTCAGCAATTCAGGATGTCAGTTCTCAAGTTCCAACGCTCGCACGGGAGCTGCGGCCAGCGGGCCTGATTGATCCTGACGATCCGCAGCCTACCTACAGATACTTGGTAGATACCAGAAAATCAAAAACAAAGGGAGACCAACATTGGGTTTAGGGTTTGGGGTCTAGGGTTGGGGTTTAGGGTTTCGGGCTTAGGTTTAATGGAGAAGCAATGGAAAATCAAATGGATTGCAAGCTCCTACTTGTGGGGTTATATCGAGTCTATAAGGTTGTTTCCATAAAGAAAGGGAGGGAACCCATTATAGATCCCAATATCTAGAACCCTTTTCTCTGGGCCCCCCCGAAAATGGTACTCCTGATTTTGGGAAACCCTCATCTAGCCGACAGAAGAACTAACTCTAAGCAGTTTAGGCTTCCCCATGTGGTTTTAGACTGCAGTTTGAACTGTTAGGGACACTACTGTTATATAGAGGTAATATAGGGGATAACCATAAACCCTAAACCCAAATAGTAGTTTCCATTTTCTTTTTTCGTTATCACCCCCACTTTTTTGTTGTGCTGCAGTTGTTTGGGACCAGAGGATATACTCCATGGGCTCTGGTGACTGTCAAGGACATCGTGGTTGTTTGTACAGCAGTCCCCCCCCCCCAAGACCTAGGGTTTAGGTGAACAGCTGTCGCCTCACCAAACCATTTCCTAGATTTGGGGGTTTAGGGTGTAGGGTCGAGGGTGTAATCCCCTCCCCTCTTCACACCCCATTCCTCAGCATGTTAGTGTTTCAGGCTAGTGGGGCATATGCAAGGGTCTCAGAAGCAACAGAATTTACCTGCGATTTTGTATTTGGTTTTCATCCTTGTGATTAATGACATGCTTTCATTTGCATGCACAAGCTGAACGACAGAACTGGCCCATGGCGCCTATTTAACTCCACCAGCCTTCTTCAAACAGGTGCACTTCATTCCAATAAGAGACCAGCTCCTTTGCCTACTTGAATTGTCTAAAATGCGGAAATCGAATGATGTGTTCGTTTTAGGTGGAATATCCTAGATTGAAGTACTATGTTGTTTTCTCATTTCTCTTGGTTTCAGCTCAATCAAAGTCCTGTAACAAGTCTTCAAACGATTTCAACACTTCAAATTGAAAGCTGGCATCTAGTTGAGATCCTTAAGTTGCCTGCAGGGCCTTCAAGTTTCACTTCCCGCAAGTAAGCCAGGTTTCTCTTTTGTTTTTCTTGCGCAAAATCAACAGTATTACATATCAGTGTTGACATTTTTTCCAAGTAGAGAACAAAGTTTCTCTTTTCTGAGTGGAACTGGCAAAAGGAAACCTGCATAGCGGAGAGAACATGGGCTACTTGTAAACCTTTTTTCTAATTTAGGATTGTCACCGCACCAAAAACCGTTTTGATTTGATGTTCTTCAGAGAAACTGAACCTTAGAATTGACTCCGTATTTCCATCTTTTGCAGTATCTGGATCTCCTGGCTAAACCCTAAGCCCTAAACCCTAAATTGAAACAAAGGGCCAGCTCTCCTGCTCTTAGAAGCTAGGTACCCCAGTAGTACCCTTTTGCCCTTCTTGTTTTTGGGGTCTCCTTATTAACGGCTTAGGGTTCAGGGTTTAGGGTACCTTATCATTAATGGGTTACTCGGTGGTTGCAGACAATTACTGCGAGTGTTGGAAAGCATGGATTTTGCTCCTGTTTAGACTAGAAATTGGTACAGTCCCATTGACATCAAAAAGCCAGCTGATATGTTTTGAAGCAAGGTCATGAGATTTTGTGCCTTCAGCACCCGAGAATGGTAGATCCAGGGTAGCATAAACCCTAAACCCCCAGAACCAAACTTAAGGCATTCTTCAACATTCCATCGATTCCAGACAAAGAAAGTGATTCCGCAGATCTTTTCACAAACCGTGGAATTCTTTGATCTGCCCGTGTCTTGGGCAAAAAAATGAGGGTAAGGTTTCGGCTCTACTCTAATTTGTGGAAAGAGTTGGCTGGGCAATTTTTGCACACTTTTCTTTCTGGACGTGGTGACCAGGTGGGAATAGTTGGTTGGGCCACTTGTTTCCAAAATTTCCACCATCTCCAAACAATCAGCTGGAGATTGCAGGTTTTGTTTAGAAATCATGGAATTCGTGGAAGAAGTTGGCTGTGCCAATTCTTTCCACGAACTGCATGATTTCAAAGCAGAACCTTGCATGGGTCTCTAGCTGATTGTTTTGAAATCGCGGAAATTTTGGAAACAGTGGCCCAACCAACTTTCCCCACCGATTCCAGAAACAAAATGGTGGAAAAAGTTGGCCTGGTCAACTCCTTCCACGAATTCCATGATTTCTAAGCTGGGTAGGCCCCTGGGGTATCTAAGATTTTCCCTGATGGCTTTAATAAGGGACCCTATATACTAACATTTTTCAAAGGGTTTTTGGGGGCCAGCCCAGTAAGCGACACCTGCAATCTCCAGTTGACTGTTAGGAATTGTGGAAATGTCTGAAAAAGTTGTCCCGGCGAACCTTTCTTTCACGAATTCCATGTTTCTGAGCGAAACCTGCATTCTCCAGCTGATTCTTTGGAAATCCTGGAAAAGTTGGAAACAGTTGGCCCAGCCAACTCGTGGAAAATGGCCCAGCCAACTTTTCCCTTTTGCTTGAATTTCATTCCAGGAAGAAGTGAAAAATGCCAGTGCTAACTTTTTCCACGCATTCATTGGTATCTTGCTGGCACAGAGATATCCATACGCAAAGCTTAAAATTACGAATTGCCCTGCTTTGATATTTCATGGATTCCTGGATGGTTCGCGCTGAATTTAGGACACAGATCCCACAGTTTCCCCTTATCGTCATGAGCGCCATGGAAACAGGTTGGGCCCACGAACAGTGTTTACACGTTTTGTATCGACACGCATTGGTAAAGTTCATTCTGCCAACATTTTCTCTGTTTTCCATAGCTTCTCAATGGTAAGACGAAGATTTCAATCAATCAATCTATCTACCTAGGTGGTTGTTTGTTTCAAATATTGGTTCTGACTTGGTCCCTCCCGTGTGCTGTCTTGCCCTAATCCAGCAAATAGTGGACATTCCTCGATTGGCTACAAGATTTTTTGATGGCGGCTCAATCTAGTCAACGTTTTGTCTTTCACCATATTAATGATGCCCTTCTTTTGTATATGTTAACAGGTATTATTACGGTATTATGTATTTGAAGTTGAATGAAGGAATCCAAAGGAACTTCACTTCCAATTAGAGGTCTCCTCGAAAATTTCAAAACATATATAAGTTTTGTAAGGTCACTATATATACAATGGGCTACAACAATTCAGATTAATTCAATGTACGTGTCAACAGAAACAGGGGTTCCCTTTTCATTCCTAAACATATGTGGATTGTGCATTGTTGCATACCTGCTTCCTTACTTCATGTTCGAAATACGTAAGGATCTTGTGTTTTTATGCTCGTCGCAGTCGCCACGAGGTTCGGATTGCAAAGCCTCAAAGCCTAAACCATACTCTCTAAAGGATCCAAAAAATGGAGCCCCCCAAATATACTACATTGGGGTAACTAGGGGATTATTAGGGGGTTCCATTTTTTGGATCCTTTAAGAGGTCTGGGAAAACATAAGCCACCTCGGAGGTCTTACCAGGGCCAGGATATGTGCTCTTGCCTGCTTCCCGGGTCCTAACTATGGGCCGTGATAAGGTGTGTTGGTTCTATAGGATCTGTATCAGGGATATTTCAGGGCCCCCGGATTAAGGGCGTATGTTAGAGTCGCATACGCTATAGGGGCCCATAGTTCCAGCCTTAAATCTTAAATTCTGAACGAAAGCCTACAAACCCCAACCCAATGAGGAGGATTCCGACTACCATAATTACAAGAGGCCTTTGACCCAAACCCTGAACCCAACAGCCTAAACCCTCAAGCCCTTAACCTCCGAAGGAGGATTCAGATTATGGGGTTGACTTTACCGACACTCCTGCCAGACAACTTCGCTGCGCCTACGAGTACCTTAGAGACCACATGAGCCCCAAATCATTGGGCACGGACACCGTGGTTTATGGGTAGCTTACAGGGAGGTATGAAGTGTTGTTTTGTTTGGGTTCTTTGGTGAGCTGATACTGGAGAACAAAAACAGAAATGGAAAGTGAAATGGAAACTAGGGCTTTCTACGCGCTACCTTGGGACTACATGGACCGCAAATTTCACTGTGTAGTAAGGAGATTAGGGAATCAAATCCAAATGGAAAATTGGATGGAAACTGAGATTTGTAGGGAGATGATGAGTATATTTGTTGTTGTTCCTGTTGTTTTTGCCATGGCATTTGGCAAGTGTACACGGGATTCCTTAAGAATGTATGCGAGGAACCCTAGAAGGTTTGTGGTTTAGGGTTTTGGGTTTAGGATAGCTAGTGTGGCCAGATTTGTAGTAATGTAATGACCCCCAAGACTGTAAACCCTAAATGGTTAGTCCTCAAGGTATGGCGTGCCTGCTGCCTCCGCACAGCTTTATGCGTCTGAAGGGACCTATTCTGGGGATGTGTGGAAAGTGGAGGACATCGCCAAAAGGCAGGTGGACGTCAAACTTGTGAATGTTTATTGAGGAAGGCTTCAAAAGTTGGGGGGCAAGGACGTTGTGACAAATAAGCAAGGTCCATTTCCTAACCCTTTCCCGAGGCTGATTCGGGCATCTTCAGTAAGGACTGCTTACGCGAAATCGTCCGGAGGATCTCTGACAACCTTCTTCTGGTCCCCATGCATCCTACTGTTGACCCCAAAACACTTGTACGACCTGAGTAACATATTTCTTGGGAACTTTGGAAGGGTAGTATCAGACGGTCTGGCATGATGTTCAATATGGGAGTTCCCAGGTATCAAGACACGCTGCAGAACCTCAAATGAGGATGTTGTTGATCCTTGTGGAGTGCCCCCATAGCTTTACGGTCTCCCGAGATACTCCTACTTTAAAAGACTCCCTGAACACTACCTGTAACTCCAACAGCTTAGAAGTAATTACTCCCTAGTGGGTGGGTATAACCCGTAAAACAAAAGCAAATTGGGGTGACAAGTAAACCTTGAACAACAACTGCGCAACCACCATGGTATGGACAGTGTTGGGGTTTTTAAGTTTAGATATGAGACACCTGAAGCTCAAGGGACATTCAAAACACGCATGGTAGGGTTTTGGGTTTTGGGTTTGGGGTTTAGGAGTTATGGTTTGGGGCTTGGGCTTTGGGGTTTAGGGTGTGCCGTTGAAGCAGTTTCGGTTGAAGCAGTATCCCTTCCACTAATTTTACACATCTCCAGCCCCTGATATGAAGAATTCCGTATGGTACCCCAAGCAGTTTAGGAGCCGTAGTTATCACTGAGGGATAGGGGGTTTACCCGGAGGAGGGAATTATCTGATCCTGTAGCGACATGCGCAGTTGGAGCTTCCCCATGACTAGTTTCTGTTTGCTTCAAAGTTGTTCTTCCCTGAACCCTGGCCCCGAAAGTTTAATAGCCTAAATCATGTACACTTACGGCGGGGCAAACCCTAAGCCCTAAACCCTAAACCCTAAGCCCTAAACCCCTAAACCCTAAACCCCAAGCCCTAAACCTAAACCCTAAAAGCTAAATCCATGCAGCCCCAGATCGGGCCTCAGCCCCATTGATGGTCTGTATGAAAAGAATCGCAGCATAGCCTTACCTAGGGCGTCCAGGTACCTAAATAATGGGAACTGGGTTCTATGTACTGTAGACCAATGATTAATAAACCCCCTCCTTTTAAGGGCCTTAATATCAGAATCGCTATTATAATCCCTATTAGGGGGACGGGGTTTACTAATTAGGGGTCTACATTACCTTACAGTTACATAGCCCAGTAGCCTACTATTTAGGTAACTGGGAGCCGTAGGGTTAGTTCAAAGTCCCCTGAGCCCCACCCTGAGGCTCTGAGGACGCACGTTTTAAGGCTGTTTGGGCCCAAAGACCATAATATGAAAGCCTTTTGGCCTATCTTGAGCCTTGGGGCTACTGTTCTTCATGTTGGGGGTGTCGTAGCTCTTGTTTTTTTGGAATCTGGTTTCCTTAGATAAACCTGGAAGAATCATGTACAGTAGGGGCCAAGATGATGACCAACATCAGTCTTATGGATTCCTTTTATTGTCATGGTATAGGATGCCGATACCTCAGATAGACTTCAAAATCAGATTGAGGATTACGTCGGCGCTTGTGTTACCCTAAACCCTGAAGCCTAGGTCATTTAAATCCCAAAGGAAAAGGGGCTCAGAGCCCTGGACCCAGAAAAAACCGACGGTTAAAGCTCCAAAGCCTCAAACCTCCAGATGTACACTTTCTTTAGTGTTTAGGGATTATAGGGTTTAGGCCCTCCGAACCGGAATTCCGAATTCTCAGGCTTGAGTTAGGTAGACCCCCCACCTTGTAATAGTGGCGCAAGGGATAATAAGGATTAGATCAGGGTCCTCTAGTTTTCCTATTATACCACTAGTGCAGGGTGGGGAGGGTCCTCCTAAAGCCGGCGCTAAATCCGAAATCCCCAACAAGACGAAAACTTTGCCTCTTCACCTTGCACCCTGAGGACAAAATCCTACATCCTATACGCTGCAGCTTTAACTCCCAGATCCTACACACCAAGCTTGAAAGTGCGCGCCCCCATATAAAAACGGATCATCAATCGAAAATGAGAACCCTGATTCGTGCCATTTGGGTTGTTCTCGAAATTATGGGGCCCTTTTGGTGATAGATTATAATGCGGCACCTAATTTGGGTGTACCAAAATGGGACACTAATTTTGAGGAACTACCCTTTTGATTAACATTTTCATTCGGGATGCCAAGCCGCCGATCTAGACCATGGCGTCATGTTTTGGTTGTAGTAATTTACACGGAAGATCAATCAAGCCTAAAACAGTGATCCCTAAACTCTACATCCTAGGCCCCAAACCTCTAAGCCAAGCCCCCAAACCACGTAAACCCTGACTTCCTAAACTCCTCGAAATCTTCAACCCGGCCTGCAACCCTACGCCCCTGAATCCCTGAAACCCGAACGTCGGACTCCTAACCCTAAACCCTACCTAGACCCTCCAATGTAGTTCCTTTTTGGGTTTGGTATGGTTTTTGGGTAAGGACTCTTATTAGGACCCCCAAAAAGGTACTACATTGGAGGGTCTAGGTAAACCCTAAACTCAGAAATCCATTGAAGCCCTCACCCTGAAACCCCTAACCTCTACACAGTTGGGGGGGCGCGGCCTCCCGAACTTGCTGGGTTCGCGAAACTGGCGAGCCAACCGGAGCTGCGCAGGCCCTCAGAAGGTTTAAGGTTTAGGGTTTGGGGTTTCGGGCAGCCACTTTTGGAACCTAGGGTTGTTCCATGGGCGTAGATACAGTAAGTAAATCAGCGCGGAGTTTAGGCTTTTAGTTTGATATTCAGGGTTTCAGATTTGGGTTGCCTTGAGACTTAGCTTAGACCTCAGATCCTTAACGCTTCGGGATTTCCTTGTACTCCTATGATAGGTACCTGAGGCTTAACCCTTAGTAGAGGTCCGAAGTGCCACGGAGACAAGTTGACCCCCAGGAGCCAAACATACATGACAGATGCTCCAAGAAACCCTTGGGTTCCATGGCAATTCCCTTGTGAAAGTCCTCATAACGGGTGTCTAGGAATCTACCGAAGCCTCATGGTCTCAGAGACTAACAGGTTGGGGACTGTCCCCACTCAGGAACAGTTGGACAATATTCATAGCATAGCTCTCTCCATGTATATATATACTTTATATATATCCCTAAGGGTGCAAGGACCCAAATAATAGGGTTCTAGGGCCCAAATACCATTAATACTATAGTATTTGGGCCCTACAACCCTATCATTTGGGTTCTTGGACCCTTAGCGTGTATATATCCCTTTACATTGCCCCTATTACAGACTGTTATGGGGTGAATGCAGAGCTCAGCTCATAGGTTACAAGGGTTTTGGGGGTCTTGGCTTGTTGTAGGGTTGTAGGTTTGGGGGTCCTGGCTTGGACCACCCAAATACCTTGTTTAGGGTTTAGAGTTTAGGGTTTAGGGTTAACAGTGGCCTGTCAGCCTCAAAACAATGGGTCTATATATAGGTTCAGAGAAGTGTTCAGGCTCAGGTTGCAGAGTGTAGGATTTGTGGGCTTGACAGTTTTGGGATTTGGGTTTTGGGTCTTCGGTGTGAGGATCTAGGCTATGGGCTTAGGGTTCAGGGTTTTGCAAGTTAACTGCTTTGCGCTTAGGGATATGTTGTTTTTCTTACGGTAGGGTTTTGGGGCATCATCTCTCTAGGTGAGCAAACGCTCAGGCTATAGTGGAAGCCAACAGCAGGGTAGCTCCAAAGAGCATATGAGCTTTAGTCTAAACTCCTTAAAAGTCAACAGACACAGAACCCTGGGAAAGTCAACACAGGTAAGAGTAACCCCTTAACCCGGCCAACTTATACTTAAGTAGGGCAGTGACTGTGAGGTCTCTTTTTCCTTGAGCCA